AGGGACGAGTTTATTGCACGATCTACAAATCTCTCTTACGAACTCAAGAGAAGTTAAATATTGTTTTCAATCGCCAGGTAAACTGCAGATGCACCGCAAAGAGAGTCTAGAGATTCTTCTAATAAAAATGTTTCAATCTTTGATATTAAATTTGCCATGTTGATACTTGTTCGGTTGGTATTCATTCGCTAAAAAATTTCGGGCAAAATCTATTTTAAAAAACTGTATCGTAAAAAGTATTACGTATTACTGTGAAAACGAAATCGCAAGTAAAAAAAGCAATAATAACGTAAATATACTGCCCTTTTGAATTATTTCGCCCGTTCATTTCTGATCTCCTTTGGAATGCGGATGCAGTGAACGACGAATAAATCTTTTCATAAAGAAAATGCATAAGCCACGAGTTAGTAACAATCAACAGGTCGTACGATTAAATGCATGAAGTTCGAATTTATTCCTTACTCATTATGTTCGTTTAAACATACTATTTAAAAAATGAAAAGTATATTTATTGCTTCGCATTCACAAAGTGACTATAAATAGGCTGACCAGCCGAAAAAGAGCTAAATGTTTGAATGTTTTTTGCTTCACAAAGCGACATACGTCGCAGACATATAGGAGTTTGGTAAATGTCCTTCAATTGTTTGCGAACTCCATCTATTATAGTCTTACTAATCAATTTGGGGAAAAGAAGACTATATAGTTAATCAAAGGACACTTCTATCAAAAACAATTGTTCTAGAATAATGACATATTGTACGTGCACGAAATTTTACATAAAGACATAAAAAAGACTTGATAAAACATTGGCATATTAATGGCGTCCCAGAATTTAACACTTCTGATTTTATCCTCCGTAAAACTTGAGATCAACATCTGTAGATGTACGAATCTGATTAATTCTAACTAACTACGTACACCTATGGCGTTATAAAGATAATACATTTTTCTAACTCTTTTCATTTTATCCTTTATACAGCTACTGAAATACCAGGTGAGAAATAGAAATGTCTATGAACTTGTCATTTAACCTTTTTTGCACTCTCTTCTGTCCATTCTCTAATAGTTCATTGAGACGAATGGTTAGTGCTAAACCAAATTCATAGTACCAATAGATGGTCTCAGAATGGCCTTGCCAAAAAACTCAAAGGGATGATAATTATCAGGAGAGAGTACTTCTGACGAATTGTTATTTCAGTTGTAACCTCACGTATAAAAGATAATAATATTTGCTGTTCCATATTGTGGTCTCGACACTCTGAGAAGAGATGGGGAGCCACTTTATGGCCCAAACTTAATAGAAGTAATGCAATTACTTCCTGGGGCGCCATTAAGGCAAAGGAGAGTTTATGTTAGCTCTATTTATACTCCATGACGCTCCAAGCACGGCTTTACCATGATAAGCCAAGATATTTGCAAAGAAAAAAGTAAATAGGGCTATAAAGTCATCCAATTTCCGTGACTGCGCGGTCTCGAAAAAATTGAAAAGAAAATTTTGGAATGAATATAGCAACAACGTCAATGACAGAAATTTACTTTTATTTTTATTTGCAAGAATACAGGATGTTAAGTGTCTAAGCCTATTACCGAATTTAATGTTAATGAAAAGGATAAGGATATAAATATGATTCTAGCCCAGAAAGTATAGAATTAATTATTTTGATGGTAGGCCAATAA